AGATCGATTAACGTTTCTGAATCATCGTTCATCGTTGCGTTCCCCTGTCACGTCATCGTACATCTGGCAGTCACCCTATTTCAATTCGTGGTTAGTGCACATCATAGTAACATCTCGTAAGGGGGGGTGGGGTGAGGGGGGGAAAGAGACTTGCAATTCTCGTGCATCTGGCAGGAGTCACGTCATTTTTGTAACGTATCGTATGTCTGCTAAAAATACCCAACGTCTGGTCACGTTTCCTTGGAACGTCAATCATTCAAGGAGTGGAAGGGAGGGGGGGGAAGGAGGGAGGTAGGAGGAGGGGAGGGGGAGAAGGAAGGAAAGAGAAGCATCTATTCATAGTATATTATTTCCCCCCCCCCCCCGTATGCGTCGTACATCTGGCATGCTGATTTGCTTGATAACGTCGTGCATCTGGCAGCGTTTTTTCAGCGTGACAGGACACACGACAATGATTCTTGACACTAATGTTGCATGCCAGACGGGAATCACTGACTGGCACTTATTCAAACATGACATCAAGCTCACGTCATGCACTCTATATATATTTTTTTGAGTTGTATATTGCTCTGCATTGTGTTTGCTTCACGTTAAACTATATTTTTTAAGCTTATCTTCGGGGTTTTTTTATGAGTGTTATCGTACATAGAGGAGATGCTTGTACCCGAATCTCAGATAATCGAAATCTCTCTCCACGTCATGAACTGATTAGAAAAAGCCCTTGAGTTTATTTTATCAATACAAACACGATACTAAAAGGGTGTTTGTATCGTTATTTGACCATCACACGCTACGTAAACCATTCTTATCACAATCCTATATATCCTGTTATCGATCATCTGGCAGCTTCCAATCAATCTGGCTCCCCCCCCCCTCCTCCTAGCTTAACAGAAGCTTTAAAAATATCATTGTTTGTGTATTTGTTAATTATATCCAGATTAAATAGCAATAGTTGAATTAACGAGGCAATAGGTTGGCGAAGGAGTGTTTTGGCTTTAAAAAAACAGGTGCAGTTCGGCCATTACGCAAACAAGGTCACTTAAAGACACTTTAATGATTACAAATGACCTTAGAATGGTTTCCCTACGTAGGTATTTAATTCGAACCAGAGAGGGAGAAAGAGAGAGAAAAAGAAAAAAAAAAACAAAGGAAGAAAAGGAAGAAAGAAAGAGAAGTAAAAAAATATAGGCCTAAAAATAAACATATTTAATTCAAATCAGTTTATAATGGTATGCGGAGGCACTGTGCCACACTGTCACTGCCAGCCAGGTACGAACACATGCCCCACCTGTGTAATATTAGGTGTTGCAGGTGGGGTACAGATTTACAAATGACAGTGGAGGAGGGGAGGGGGAGGAGGAGAGAGAGAGGGGGGGGGAGAGACAGAGAGAGAGAGAGAGAGAGAGAGAGGGGGGGGAGACAAAGAGTGAGAGAGAGAAAGAGAGAGAGAGAGACAGAGAGCAAGATCAATCATGGAGAAAGGAAGAAGAGAGTTAAACATACGTGCATACACACACACACACACAAACACACACACACACACACATACACACACACACACAAACAAACAAACATACACACACACACACAACGAGAGAGAGAGAATAAGATGGATGAAAACGCTGGCTGAAAAATATTAAAACATCCATTTGTCAACGAATGATATACATCAATGTTAAAATAAGTGTCTTTAATGCTTGTTCTGCACTTGTGCTAGAACTATTCAGACACATTTTTTTCAAGTCAATCTTCAAAGCTGTGGTTATATGTATGTGTATATATGTGTGTATATATGTATATGTATAATATATATATGTATATATATATATATATGTGTGTGTGTGTGTGTGTGTGTGTGTTTCTTTTTTACGTGCCATCGCCGATGCGGGGTTTGACGAAAATAAAAAGCAACAAATGAAGAAGAAAAGAACATAATAAAAAGAAAAAGAAAAAAATGCTTATAATGTCGATGACAACGACAAGGTCAAGAGAATACATTCATGTATATTCTTCCATTATATATCTCTATGTATATATATTTGTGTGTGTGTGTGTGTGTGTGTGTGTGTGTGTGTGTGTGTGTGTGTGTGTGTGTGTGTGTGTGTGTGTGTGTGTGTGTGCTGCTCACTCACCCTCCTTTTCCCCCTCTCCCTCTTCCCACTTCCCTCCTTCCCTTCCCTCGTCCCTACTTCCATTTTCCACTTCCCCTTCTCCCTCCCCTCTCCCCTCTCCCTTCTCCCCTCCCCTCTCCTCTCTCCCTCCACCCTCTCTCCACTCCCATTCTCCCCTCCCCTTTCCCCGTCACGCCCTCCTTCCCTCCCCTCTCCCATTTCCCACTCCCCCCCATCTCCTCGTCACACTTCCCTCTCCCTCTTCCTTCTCCCTCCTCCCTATTTCCATTTTCCACTTCCACTTCTCCCTCTCCTCTCCCACTCCCCTCTCCCTTCTCCCCTTCCCTCTCCTCTACCCTCCCCCTCCCCCTCTCCTCTTTCCCCGTCACGCCCTCCTTCCCTCCCCTCTCCCATCCCCCCCCCCTCTCCTCGTCACACTTCCCTCTTCCCTCTAGCTCCTCCCTCCCCTCCCCTCCCCCCTTCCCTCACACTTCCCTGCACGTGCAT